TAAAGTTAATCAAACATACTTTATTTCTGCTATGCTTGTTTTTTTATCATGATGAAATCTTATAAAATTAAACCGAAATATGATCGTAATGGCAAACTTACTTACAGCACTCTGGTATAAAAATTAGAATACGCTCAAAAGCAAAAGAAAATAAAAACATGGAAAAGGAAAAAATGGAAAGTTCTGTAAAGATATACGCTATATCCAACAATAATATGAATAATAGATTTTGCTCTTGGTCTTTAAGATTGTGGAGACGTTCAGAATGTAAATATGAAGCATGCAGCTAATAGGACACTTTTGAATGGTGACACTAAAGTCAACGATACGGCAGAAGTTACGTGTGATTTAGGTTACTACGATTCTTACCAGAACCAAACAACGGGTGTATCAAAACGTACACTTATATGCTCTAACACGGGGAAATGGACAAATACTTCCAAATGCGTTCCTAAAGGTTAACTATATATTCTGATTATATATTTTTATGATTTTTTGATAATGCTTGTATAATATTAAAATTGTTTTATCAACCATGTAAAAGTGAACATCCGAAAGCGCAAAAGTATAGGGGGCAGGGGACCTAAAAATGAAAAAAAAAATGTATTTCAGTGTGACCAGAAACACATTTCCAAACATTTCAAAATCTGTTTCACAGGCAGATAACCAGTTGCACAGCATTATTCAATGATATATGACAAACACTGAAGAAAATAATAGTTTGCATGCATTGCTCCTTCAAAAAATGACTGACAGCAATTTATATTTACCCCCACCCAGCCAAAATCACACCTAAAATATACCAATATGGGCAATCTTCATGAAGGTGCAGCATACTCCAGAATCCGCCCAATTCCTTTACAGTGCAAGCTATGGCATTTTCAGAAATGACCAATAAAGTGTCTGTCATACGTTTAGATTTTTTTTTTTACAAAATTTATCTGAAATTTCTTACTTGTTTGGCACCAACTGTCAAAGCTTGATTTTTAACTTTTTTACCTCCATTCGGAGAGTCAGAAATACCTACAAAGCTACAAAATGCTTAGTTTCGGGTAAAAACCCAAAAATACTTCTCACTTCCTACACACAAACAAGAAAGAATTACAATGACAGAGAAATATCAGAAGTTATCAGTACCTTCAAAACACCATGTCTGAGTTATTAAAAAAATTGACCGGGGCCATCTTTCGAATATGTCCCCTGCCCCCATAATACAAAAGTTAACCTTATCATTTTTCCCATCTCTCTTTTTGTATATGTATAAATACTTATCAATGCATGGATTCACTAAAAAATTACTTTAAAAATGACTGTCTACTATATCAGATTGCCATGATGTTAAAGTCATCACCATAGTTCATGCGGCACAAAGGCGTTACAATGACACAAAATTCAATTCTACAGCAGAAATAGATTGTAAAGATGGATATTATAATCCAAGAGAAAGTCAAACAACTGAAACATCAACTGCTATAATCAGATGTTCTGAACAAGGAACTTGGACCAACATACCTAGTTGTATACGCAAAGGTATTTTTAACTACTCAACTCTTCTACGCTTCAAGATTTTTATGATTTAGGGGATATTACTATACAATAATAACTAGTACAGTAAACCTCATTTACTGAGAACACGGTTATGATAGCAAACTTCCGGTTAATACGGAACAATTTGTTTGGCCCGAATTCACCCTTTCTTTATTAAATATAAAAAAAAAATTATTATAGAGAACACGGTTATTAGGAATAAAGATTAAAACTTGCCCGAATGTACCGTTTATTGTTGTGTGTACTTTAAATTTAATTTCTAAGGGCAGTACGTAATAACTTTCTAGTTAGGATATTTCGGCAAAAAGCCGTCTGTTTTCGGTAATCTAAACGGGAAGAAATGAGTATATTTAAAAAATTCATTTTGAAACTACAATCTGAAATTTCGGAATATGATTGGCCATGAAGATTGTAAAATTAGTGAAAAACATAAAGTATTTCTGAACGGTATACGGTCTCATTTGTAAAAAATTTTAAAGGATTTTTGGGAAACAACTATCTACATTTATAAGTTAATTAACTATCAAGTTAAGTTACAGATACTTAAATTCTGTTTAACCATGCCTCTTTCTACACATTATAATTCAATATTACTACAGATTATTTTACGCTGCTTTTGTAGCGTGTACCGAGCTGTTGATTAATCATTCAAGTGCTACAAAATAAAATGATTTTAAATCACAAGATTCTCAAACGCAAATATATAATTTTTCTTGGGATACTTATCCGAAATGATTTGAAATATTTTATATAAATTTCCTTCTGGTTTCTTAACCTTTTGATTATATATTAACTTAATAAAAACTCTAGAAATTATGAAATGCAAAAATAACAATCTTCAACTAATACTTAAATCATCCAAAATATATATTTCATAAGCAATAAAACACTATTTACTATTACTTTCAAACTAAAATTTACATTCCTAAACCTATCTCTTATTTCTAACTTTTATATTTCAAATCAACAAACTCTTATCATAAAACGTTCAAAAACCGATTCTTCAAATAATGTCTTCAAATAAACTCCTCTCTATCAAACACTTGTCCAAGAAGTTTTACTTAGGCAATAAGGTATTTTTAGCACCAGTATCTAAGATGCCTGGCTACTAGTAAATACAATATTACCTATATCCAACTCTTGCAAGGACAACATGCAAACTAACTATTTAAATCATAAGAAGTAAAGATATTTTTAGCACCAGTATCTAAGATGCCTGGCTACTAGTTATTATAATTACAACTTAACGGTCCGGAGCCAAAACCAAATCTAAATTCTCAACATTGCGCACGCCCTTATATATGCCTGCGGTGCGTCATCCCCGCAGTGAATACAACAGTGATTTTGAATGGTTAAAATAATAAAAACGCTTCTTGATACTGATTTTAATTGAAACTTATAAGCGTCTGTAACTTGGATTAAATTTCCGAACAAACCATAAAACAAACAGATAAACAATTCAAATGATAAACACACTTGACAATTCTTCAAATATATATCGTTACAAAAGTATAATTACTAAATAACCTTATTTACCTATTGTTTATCCTGTTATCTTCACATAAAAATAAATTGTTTTACTGTACAAATGGCGAAATCATACTAAGGGGAGGTAATCAATTGAAGTATATGAAGTATAGGAATCATTTTCGTCACATTACCCACGCCTCCGACTTCATGCGTCCCGCATGTTCTTTTAAATAGCATAAATCTGTATGTCTTATGTAATCAACGTTTTAAAATAAAGAAAAACAAACACTTTCAAACATGTACTTGAATTATATTTTACATATACCGTTATGTAATGATGACATTAAAACAAAAACAAACTAAAAAAAATATGTTCCGAAATACTCAAGCTTCAGTAATTGTTCTCATGATTGATAATCTATTGTCTATGCTTTCTTACACCTCATCTCCATCTGTAACACACATTTCCCTTCTGTTATCATTCTTTTTACAACAACATCTTCTGGCTTAATATTCATACCCTTTGGAAGTTAATCACCAAGACTAATTGTCTGTTCCCTCTGATTTGCCCCTGATGTAATAGTTTCAAAACTCTGAAATACCTTCTTACTCTCTGACTTAATTGTCATTTCATGTGTTGATCTCCCATTTGTTTCAAGGTTCAGTTCACAATCTATATTAATAAGATTTTCCTCTTTTTCAGTTGTAACATTATTTTTCTGGATTGTCCCTGCCTTAGTTTGACTAGTTACCGCCTTGGTTTGACTTGTTAAGACTTTCTGTTTCTTAAACATGTCTTTTGATAATTCCATCATAGGACATTTTCTTTTAGGAACAAAAAGTGTTGGCTTTGTTTGCATTCTAAGAATACCTTTGTTCGATTTACTTTTTGTCTTTAATTTATTTCCATCACATTTAATATTGTCACTGCTTGACTCAAAACATATCACATTACTTTCACTCTTATTACTGCTTTCGTCTCTTCCACTTGTCACATCTAACATGTCATCTTCTAAACATATTTCTGGGTCCACATCCCAATCACTATCACTTGACTGTAACTCAACTAATTCTTCTTTTTCATTTTTCTCACTTTCTGCAATCTTTCCTTTTTCGTGAAACTTTTTTACATGTACTTTCAAATATCTCTCTGTCTTGAATGTTACTCCACACACATCACATGATATTCTTTCTTTTTCGTCACCTGCTCGTTTTGACATTTTATCTCTTGATAATGCTGACCTGGAAATAGAATAAATATAATCATTTAACCAATATGGGTTCTTTCTTTCCCTACCATATCTACTTTTACTTGATATTATTTCTTCATGATTCTCTATCTCTTGTTCGTCTATGGTTGTATCTTCCTGAAAAGAATCAGAAATAACTGGGCTCTCTTCAAATGTTAACTGTTTTGGTGCTTTTCGCATTCTGTTTGCATGAATGACCTGTAAAGAATTTGATTTTCCACAATTAACTTTGTATAAAACATCTGATAATATTTCTGTTACGGTATAAGGACCCCTCCAAAAAGAAGTTAATTTCAAAGAACATCCCAACTTCTTAACAGGAAAATATACAAACACATTTTCATCTTTAGCAAATTTTTCATATGATAATTTTGAATCATGAAATACTTTTTGACGTTTCATTGATTTTTCAGTAGTCTGCCTCACTAAATTATGAGCGGATTCTAATTTTTCTTGCAACTCCCAAACCCATTGAGAAGGGGGTATTCTTTTCATGTTTGGGGGCATTTCGAAAGCTAAGTCTAGGGGAGTATTAAATTCTCTTCCTAACATTAACATATTTGGCGTCATTCCTGTTGTCTCGTGTTCAGTAGATCTATAAGCCATCATAACATATGTGAGTAACTCATCCCAATTTTTATGATTTTCTTGAACATACATACTTAACATTGAAGCTAATGTTTTATTAAACCTTTCCACCATTCCGTCAGATTGAGCATAATATGGTGTTGTCCTTGTTTTCTTTATCTGTAATAAATTACATAATTCACGGAAAAGCTTACTTTCAAACTGTGATCCTTGATCTGAATGTATATTGTTTGGAATACCAAATCTAGTTATAACATTGTCAACTAAAATTTTAGCAACTGTGCTAGCTTCCATATTAGACATTGGAAAAGATTCAGTCCATTTGGTGAAATAATCGGCTATCACCAAAATATACTTATTTCCCGAATCAGTTTGAGGCAATTCACCTAGAATATCGATTGCAATTCTTTCAAACGGATAGCCACTCCTTACAATTTGCATCGGAGCTCTCTTTGTTTGGGTAGGACCTTTTCTCTTATTACATGCTTCGCATCCAGAAACATATCCCCTTACATCATTTTGAAGTCCTGGCCAATAAAATCTTTGCCTAATTTTACTTAAAGTCTTTCTAATACCAAGGTGACCTGAAGCTTTAATATCGTGAGAATATTGTAAAACTAAATGTCTTAATTTAAGGGGAACTATTGCTTGCCAATAAATAAGTTCGCTTCCTAATACTTCCCATTTTCTAACTAAAAGATCATCATGAATTTCTAATCTTGGCCACTGACTCCAAAGCGATTTTAAGAAGAAATTTTCACTTAAAATATCTTTGTATTCTGGTCTGTTACCAGTTTTTATCCATGTTTTAATCAACTGTATATTTCTATCTTCACTTTGAGCCTTTTGCAAATTTATTTCCCCATAACTATCTATGTTCTGTTCAAGTGAAGTAACCAAACATACATTGCTTTGAAATTCAGGATGGTTTTCAAGGCCGCATTGTCTACATGGAATTCTGCTCAAACTGTCTGCATTTTTATGAAGTCTTCCTGGCCTATGTTCTATAGACATATTATAGGCTGCTAATACCTCTAACCACCTTGCAACTTGACCTTCTGGATTTTTGAAATTCATTAACCAACGCAGTGAACCATGATCAGTCCTTACAGTAAAGTTTTGACCATACAAATAATGTCTAAAATATTTAACAAAGTAAACCAATGCCAACAACTCCTTTCGAGTTACACAATATTTTCGTTCAGATTTGGTTAAAGTTCTACTCGCATACGCAATAACGTGCTCGGAGTTACCAATTTTCTGTGAAAGTACACTTCCTATTGCAAAATTACTGCCATCAACATCTAAAATAAATGTTTTTGAAAAATCAGGATGAGCTAAAACTGGTGCTTCAGTAAGCATTTGTTTTAATTTGATAAAAGATTCTGAACAATCTTTGTTCCATAAAAATGGTTGACGTTTCTCTGTTAGTGTGAAAAGTGGTTTTGCTATTTCAGAAAAGTTGAATATAAATTTTCTATAGTAACTGCAAAGACCTAAGAACGACCTTACTTCATGAACATTATTCGGAATAGGCCATGTTTTTATGCTCTCAATTTTCTTTGGATCAGTTTTAATACCTGAAGCCGATACGACGTGACCTAGAAATTCCACTTCTTTAGCAAAAAGACAGCATTTCTTAGCCTTTAATTTTAAATTTGCTCCTTCCATGCG